ACACACACACACACACACGCACGCACGCACGCACGCACGCAGACACCGACACAGACACAGGCGAATGGTTAGAAAGTTCGCATTCCGGTTCGAATCTCACCATAGTTGATTTATCAAGACGTTTCCTTCCAGATATCGGGAAAGAGGGGTCGATCCGAGCGTGTATCACCCCTGGAAAGTGCCTGAAAAACCTACCACCGGTTGACCCAAGCCTCGTGAGTAAAATTAGGCAGACGGGATCACTGGGGATCGTCGATAGCTGTGCTAACACGAAGTCACAAGTCATCGTGGCCGATGGCTTTGTTCAAATTGTTGATCACGCTAGATAACACGCTCTTTCCCAGAAACTGTAATAGCTGCAGTATAAACCACAAATGGGGTCTGTGGGTGTTGAATAACCATAAATGCTCCCGAGCAAGCGTCTGCAATAGGGATTGGCTAGCCGCCCTAGAAGTCGGGTATCCTCGATTACGAGTGACCAGCTATAAATAAGTACAGGTAACAAATCCGTTGGTATATAATCCAAGTGGATCCTAATAATATCAAATATTAAAACTGATCCACAAAAAGAGCTCAATGTATTTATTATTACAGAGCATATAAATTACACAAAATCCAAAATTACCTTATATAGGGAGGGATTTGATGTATTTCAGTCAAGGCTAATGTTAAAGATAAAATAAATTATTTATTTTTATTTTTAAATTTGTTATTCTTTAATATTATTTTTTCTATATATATCATTATTTAATATAAGTTATCTAAATATAATTGACTGTTAATCTTGTTAATATATCTCATTTGCTTGTAGAATTTGGTATTTTTTTAAAGTAAGAACCTAACTTTTTTATATATATAATTAAAAACTTATGTATAAAACTCCCTTTTCGGCCCTCTTTTAAATTTCAATTCAACACCTCATTCTTCATAGAACCCAAATTTAGGGTCATAAGGTTAATATCCGGGTTGAATTTGTGGAGCTTCTACCCTTTAAAACAGATTGCGCTTTCCCCTTACAACTGACTCTGGCATTTCGATCGTGTAGTAATCTCTATCTATAAAAGGCAGGACGTGTGCGCGTGTGTAACGAATGTACGGCCGCAATTTTCGACGGATTTGCACCAAAATGTACATGCACATGCTCCAAGTTAGCGGGAAGGCCAAGACCGACTTTGCATTTCCCAACTCCCATCGATAGTGGAAATAATCGATTTTTTCATGCTTCTACGGCAGTTTTCATGTAGTTTGCGGCCGTTTTCTACAGGCCAGAGTGAGAGCCAATAGCTGGCTGCCACGAATAGGCAGGAAGATTCTATTAGCCAGCGTGAGAGCCAACAGCTAACTGGCACGAATGTTAACTAGCATGCAAAAAAAAAATCGATAGCTGCATTCGTCACAAGTGGGAAAAATTTAAATCTGCATGGCACTCTACTCCAATTGGCTCATTCGCTTGCTTAAACTCAACGTTGATTCTGATTCCGCAGAACTGGGTTTGGTATGAAAAAGTATTTGTTGTTAACATTCTTTTTTCATTCGGTTTTTCCAGTTACGAGTCTTTTTTTAAAGCTGATCAGTTTGTGTTCATTTTGTTTCGTCCTTTTTTCGTAACAGATTTAATGTTTAGTATAGAGCTTAGAAAAAAATCGCAATGTAGCAAGAAGTAAGGCATGTAGCAACATCAGCACGGCAAAGGGCACTCCTTTAAAGGCAAGGAAGGGCAAAAATATTTTAAGTCAAGTGATAGCGATTGCTGTATGAGTCGTACGATTTTTGAATCAAGCACGGGCAACGCCGGGTCATGCTGCTAGTTGTCTATACGATTCTACGTCCTGAACGTTTTCGGTTTTTATCTTAGCCATTTTCAATGCTTTCTGTTGTGGTAATTTTATACCATTTATATCAACATGACGAAAATGTTTGAAATAGATACGCCTAAAGCGCTCAGGACAAATAATCATTTAGACACGCTGAGTCAAAAAACAAAACAAAATTATTTGCATCTAGGGCCGTAGCGTACTACCTTCATGAATGGTCGGGAGATGGGAAGCATGGTTGGCGACCCCAAGCAGTGCTTTGGGACCCACGCAATCTTATCAATATTTTATTTTTTCTACCTACAAATGTAGGTAGAAAATATACGTTACAAATTAAACTAAGCACAAATGACTATTAAAGGATGAAAAGATTTCACGGATTTTGGACGCTGTAGGCTCCGGCCTTCTTCAGGCGATTTGAATTTCGAAACGAACCCTTTATTTCGTGCAGCGAAGTAGATCTAACCAACGTCTTTATCCTTGAGGACACATGGTCCAGTCCTTGAGGACACATGGCCCAGTGATAAAGACGTTGGTTAGATCCAGTAACTCGACCCGAAGAGTTGAGTGTTCAATATCAAGTTACAGCAGTGGTGAACCCTAAAAATTGGAGAGTCGAGTTAAAGAGAAATTACTGAGATATCCGAAAGAGGCATGGCACGTGGAGCTAGAACAATCTACCGCCTTGGACAAAATAAAGGGTTCGGTTCAAAATTCCAATCACCTGAAGAAGGCCGGAGAGTACAGCGGTCGAAAAGTTGTGAATATGGCAATGATGATGAGGGTAACAGTAAATAATGTAAATAATGTAAATAATCATAATACCGCCTCTCAGAGATCCAATCACCTGAAGAAAACCGGGGCGTACAACGGCCGAAACGTTGTGAATATGGCAATGAAGATGAGGATAATAGTCTGAATAATGTAAATAATGCAAGTAATTATAATAACTAATCTCAAATATCCAATCACCTGAAGAAAGCCGGGGCGTAGAACGGCCGAAACGTTGTAAATATAGCAATGACCATGAGGATAACAGTCTGAATAAAGTAAATAATGCAAGTAATCATACCTCATTTTAGATTTAAAGACAGATGTTATAATTATTCAATAAGAAAAAATTCCAAGTTGATATTAAAAATTGTCGCAAAACATTGTAGATTTATTTAAGATGGAATGAACTATTATAACATCTCCCTAATTTGTATATATATATATATATTTATATTGTATTTATTTTAAAATTTTCAAGTTGAATTTTTCGCCTATGTTGCATATGATCGATTATTGTACATAATTAAGTTACAGTAAAAAATTGTATTTTATATGAATACTACCTTATTAAAATTGAGATGTAGTAGAGTTGTGAGCACCTTATCATAGATTCTGGAGGGCGCTGGAGCCTTGTACCAGCCCTGTTCGCATCCGAAAAGTTACAGAAGTACACTGCCTGAGATTTTCAATGAAACAAATATATATATATATATATATATATATATATTAATAAATGGACAAATGTCCCAGAAATTTTCATAGAAAATATTCGTCCTTTGACAAGATTCGAACCTGCATCCTATACGGAACCTTCATTTACACTGACGTGCCTTGACCGGTAAATGTTATTTAATACTGTTTATTATAAACAGAGCATTTACTTAAATACTTTTATCTATAAAAAAGAACGTTAAACATAAAAATGTTTTTAATATATATATATTGCGTATATTTTGGCAGTATGTTTTCATTAAGACATGTCTTATTAAATAATTTAGACAAATTTTGACTACATATTTTAAGAGAATCCTCTCGTAATTACGGACAAGTTTCTTAGTGTCCTTATTGAAAGAAGAAAGAAATTACCATGTTGATACATATTGAATTTTATTCCGAGTACTTTCGACATTAGCACAATGTCGTCATCAGGGTCTTGTTTTTTCTAAGACAGAATTGTTGTGTTCATCTGAAAATAAAATTTTTACGCGTGAAGTGAAAAACGCTAATTTTATGTACTGTACAATTTTTAAATTTTATCATGTTGACACACGAGCAAACTTCAAAGGTGTGTGTGGGGGGGTAATTGATCCATTGTTTGTCTCTTTAGACTTGTTTACGGATAAGGCAACAATTAGATGAGATTGAATAACAAATTTACACAACCAATATTTGTGGGCCGATTAGAATAATCATGGAACAATACTGGTTAGACACTCGCATCAGTTTACGACTAATATATGGGCTGGAATTGTGGGTGACTGTCTGGTAGGTCCATATGTTCTCCCAGCACGTCTTACAGGAGCTGTCTACAAGAACCTTAATTCTAACATACTTCCAGACCTGCTAGAGGATGTACCCCTGCTAATACGAAGACTCATTTTTGATGGGGCTCCAGCACATTTTAATCACATTGTTCGCGATGACATCTACCATGAAAGACGGATAGGTCGATGGCCTGCACATTCTTCCGATTTTCAACCCTGTGGATTTTTATTTGTGTATCCACCTTAAACATGGTTTATGCTGCAGACATTAATAATGCAGTGTCACTTCATCAACGTGCTATGGGGGTCTGCGAAACAATTCGACACCGAGTGGGAGTATTTAAAAGGCCCCGCCAGTCAATGATCCGACGGATGCATACGTGCGTAAAAGCAAGCGGAGGACATCTTGAACATTTGTTATGAGTTGCTGTGTTGAGGTACAAAGTTGCCTTTTGGGAGGATATATTTATATGGACATTTTACCTTGTTTTGGATTTGAGGAACCCGCCCCTGAAGTTTGAGAAAGTACATTTGATACACCCTGTATTTTATATATATATATATATATATATATATATATATATATATAGTCATATTTCTGTTAGGCATATGTTTTTTAAATATATACAAGTCACATGCATGTATATATGTAGATGCATGCTTCTGATACGTATATTGTTTTAATATATATATATATATATATATATATATATATATTTCTGTTGTGCACATGCTTTTGTAAAATATACATATTATATATATATATATTTATATATATATATATATATATATATATATATATATATATGTATATTTAAAAAGCATATGGGTAATCGAAACATTCACATATCTTTACTGTTTTTTATATGCACATCTACACACATAAAATACTCTCGCAATACGTGTACAGAGACATACACATGCATAAATGGGTATGTTAACGAAGGCGGCATCGACGTCGACATGTCTGGTCGGGCTTTTTGCATCTGGCGACCCCGCAGAGCCGCACGAGATTCTCAGCCAACATAAGAAACCGTGACAAAAAAAAAAGGGGGGTCCGCGCCAAAGCTACAGCAACACTCTTCACCCTTCCACCGATCCCTCTCCGTTGGGACCTCGGGTAACATTCCGGGTGGGTGGTCAACCAGATTTCAGGGTGCAGTCTTTTTTTTCTAATTTTTTTTTTATTTTTTTATTTGCTTCTTTCCCACTGGACATCAAAAACCTTTCGAAGGCGGATGACTTCCGCGTTCAAAGGCATAATGAAATCTACGTCTGTTCTTTAACTAAAGAGAGGCTTTTGGGAAACGCACAAAACCTTCATATAAACATATATACACAGATCTGTATACAAGGTTTTATGCTTAAACGTAGGTATATATATATATATATATATATATATATATATATATATATATATATATATATATATATATATATGTGTGTGTGTCTGTCTGTCTGTGTTTGAGTGCATGTGTATATAGTTTTAGGATAGTACCCGTCAAACGAGAGTATTTTTACGTGGGTTTTGTTATTTTTACTTGCAATATATTTGTGATTTGTGGAATTTTTTAAAAACACACACGCATATATATATATATATATATATATATATATATATATATATATATATATATATATATATATATTACTGTAATTATTGAACAATAAAGTTCATGCCACTTTGACAGAAAATTTACCAGTAAAAAAGAATTCACTTATCACCATAATTGTATAAGAACGCACAATTGTAAAATTTAAACTCAAACTCAGCGTTGCGACAGCACTCTCCAAAAACAATAACTCATTTCTAATAGCATTTTTCGGATTACAACAGTACATATATTTTCGTTGTCCTCTTATTACTGAGAGAAAAAAACAAGAACAAAATCTATTCCATACCTGATGATGTCTGTAGGAACAGACGAAAGCTTGTAAAAATAATAAGAACTCATGCAACAGAAATTTATAGAAACAAGGATCTTTTCATTCATAAACAGGTTCGGGGTTTTTGCATATTATTTGAATTGTTTGCGACGATGGATTTCTCGCCAATTAAATCATTAACCTTTGTATTTGTTTTTTGTATGAATAATTCATGAATATATAATTATATATATATATATATGTTTAGACATGTGTGATGGAATAAATTACAGATATTATGTATGCTAATTTTTAATAAAATCCGTTCATACTCACGAATAATCTTTCGTGTATTGATGTTAAAGGATGAGAGAAATGTGCTGTAGCTGTTCAAATTTCTTTATTTTTCTTAGATTTTATTGAAAATTGGCAGGCATAATGTCTGTAATTTGCTGCTTAAACACACACACACACACATACACGCACACACACACACACACACACACACACACACACACACACACACACATATATATATATATATATATGTGTGTGTGTTTTATATTTAGGCAGCAATTTTTCATTGATGCACAAGTTTTGCCTATTTATTTTAAGTAAGTTCCTTTCATATTGTCTGATAAGTTTAATAACATTATCATTGAAGGACGAAAGGAAATCACCATATTGATACATGTTTAAATCCAATCTAAGCTTTCGGCTTATATAAGCCATTATCAAAAATGACAATTACTTTTCAATATATCAACCAATACACGGAACCATATCCTTAGATCTTATTATAATACAGTTTCAGTGAACCCCAAACGTTAATCTTTTATTTTGTAATCAAATGCATTCTAATTATATAGAAGATGAAAATATCCTAAAACAATTAATACATACCAACGTATCCACTACAGATGACAGTAAAAATTAAATTAATTATACACTAAATCTAGTATCTCCAATTTAATAATTCGTAGTGACTCTTCCCCACCAACCAATGTGTTACAGAAAACCAGATTTGTATATAAATATAAATGTCCTCTGGGAGATTGTATCTCCAACGGAAAAAATAATATTTATGTTGGCCATACTACGACTACGTTGTTTCGGCAGTTGAGTCATCATTTGAATGACATGTCTAGCATCTCTAAACATTTACAGCAACATGTTGTCCACATTCGCAATTTAGAAAAATTCTTGTCAAAAATACATCCATACTTTCTCATGAAAATAAAAACATAAACTAAAAATTCTTGAGGTCATCAATATTAAAAAAATTGAAACCAAAACTTAAAATAAACTATGAATGCTGCACAAATGTTTTAAGATGTTTCCAATAGACAGAGAAAAATATCAAGCTTAAAATATATTGATAGCTTCTCATATTATTTTCTTCTTTTTTTAAAACAACATTAATTCTCCCACAAAATAGATCTACAGCGAACTAGAAAACATTAAAACAAACTCCTGGTAAAAACTTCTCTCATATTGTTGATAAGATGCTCGATCAGTAAATAGAAATATAATACTGCTTCAACTAACCTCAAACAAATGTTCTATATTGTAACCAAATGCATTCTAATTCTAAACAAGATGAAGATATCCTTAAAAAAAACTAACAGATACTAACATATTCACTACAGATGCTAGTAAAAAAATTAAAATAAATTATATGCTATACTAAATCTAATATCTCCAAATTAATCATTCTTAATGACTCTTCCCCACGAACCAATTTTTTCTTGCAGAAAACCAAAACTGTATGTAAATTTAAATGTCCTCTAGGAGATTGTAACTGCAACGGAAAAAGTAATATTTATGTTGGCCATACTACGACCACGTTGTCTCGGCGACTGAGTTCTCATCTATCTATCTATCTATCTATCTATCTATCTATCTATCTAATGTACTTCACTAGCTGTCATTTGTACTTCCTCCTCCCACCCCTGTTCATTGTGTTGATACGTTGCTTCTCCTTGTTTTATCCCCCATTCTTCCATAATGTAAATCCCCAGGAAGAATTTTCTAGGTGAAGTAATTTAAACTTTATTTCCTGTTATCTTGTGATTTATATATATATATATATATATATATATATATATATATATATATATATATGGGGTGTATGTAAAAAATATATAGAAAATAGGAAAGAACTCGTTAGGTAAATAATCCAAAGTTCTTTAGTATTTTGGTTATTATTTTTAAAAAATAGTGCTCGATACAAAAGTAGAGCATAAATATAATTATTCATTTAAAAATATGATTCCAACGCTACATAAGAGCTCTCATGTTTCAAAACAAGAGCCGAAGTGCTCCTTCAACAATATAAATAAAAGAAATCAGACATTTCTATCTAAATATTTTTGGCATTTGAAGGAAATGAATAAAACAGCAAAAGTAAAATGGGAAAATTATAAACAAAACTAGAACTTGTAAAACTTGGGATGACCCATGCCCTTTATGCTTTCATGAAAAACTACACATTATTAAGTTTCTAAATAATAAAAATCTATGTCTATTGTTTAATAAACAATAGACATGAGTTAACGGTTTTTTGCCGACATCATCAAATTTTCGCATTGAATAATTGGCATAAAAACAAACATACAATAAGATAATTTTTAAATTCCATTGTCTAAATAAATAATTTAAATGCCCTAAAAAAATAAAAATAAAGATAACCCTTTATGATGTCAAAAAAACAAATGTTAGCGACTTACGACGGTTTTCGTTTTTTTTATATACACAAAACCCTTTCGGAGAAAAAAATAAAATAAAAAAAATAAATAAATCTCCATAGATTAGACGATGCCATCTTCCGCTTTAAATTTAGACACCCCAACCTTACCCTGACTTGACGTCTTTGAATGTAACTGAGATATTGATACAAATTATTAACACCTTACGCCCCTTTTCTTTAAACAATTGCTCCAGCCGTTACCACAGAAATTTTGATTTCAAAAATGAATATGCTTATAAAACGCGTAAATTTCAGAAATAAGTTATTCCAAAAAAAATTTCGCTTGAAGATGGAACATAGCTTAGTACTTTAATTCAATTTAATTCAAATAATTATATTGAAGTTTTCGGCTCTTGTTTTGAAACATGAGAACTCTTATGTAGCGTTGGAATCATATTTTTTAAAAATATATATATATATATATATATATATATATATAAATTTTTTTAAAACCTGTCTTAATTTTGATCCCAATTTTAATGTCATAAAGTTAATATCCAGGTTTAATTTTATAAAACCTCTTCCCTTTAAGACAAATACTTTCCACCCTTCCCTGACCCATGTCTCGTGCCTTTCGTCCAACTGAAGCATTGAAATGCATAAATTCTGTTTTAGTTATTTGGCGGTTTTTTTTCTTTCACAGACAGATTTCTATTTCCGAGACGAACTCTGTCTATACCGGGGTTGAGAAGGCCAACGAATTATATTTTCATCGGTCGAAATAAGCTTCTTCCCCATATGAGGTGATTTAGGATTTTATTGTGTATAAGTTTTTGCTCTGTAATAATAAATACATTGAGCTCTTTTTGTGGATCAGTTATAATATTCTATATTACTAGGATCCACTTGGATTATATACCAACGGATCTGTCACCTTGACTATATATATATATATGTGTGTATGTGTGTGATAAAATACAGTTTTCAGGTATGCTGCATTTATAGGTTAAAATATACAATATCAGTGAAAGAGCGTATGTAAATATAAAACTAGTAATTGAAGTCAACACCAAGCGGCGACAGTCTGTTTCATGTTAAACGCAATCGCCAGGCTCCTAACACTGAAAATGGCCAAAGAAATGGTCGAAAGCTCTTGCGTCAATGAAAGTTATGACAACTTTTGTATTCCATTACTCATACAAAACGGAAACAGTATAGACGCAGGAAAACCGTAATAAAAATAATTTAAATCTTCCTTGTCTGGCATTTAAAGATATTTGAAATAAAAGTTGCTACCCAAATATATATCATAATTAAGTAATTCATCGAGAAAACTCAACAGAAAGCACTGGACGGCCGTATCGTCCTACATTTAGGACTCGTCAGCAATGAGCATCCACTATCGAGAATTTAAATCCGGACTGTTAAGATTCGAGACAAACGTCATACCAACTGTACCAACGGGCCTCGGTGACGATATGGTAACGAATTAGACTCTATATAGCGCCGCTCGATCACATATTCCGCGGTGAAACACATCCGAGTTTCCCTTATCCATATGACTGTGTCCCCACAATATTTGGGACCCGCCAGCAGTCCCAAATATGGGAAGAAACGGTCGTCCAGTGCTTTCTGCATTCTGTTGAGGGTTCTTCTAAACTCGATGAATTATTTATGACTGTCTCAAATCCTCCTAATTTCTTTCATTCATATATATATATATATAAAATTATGCGAATGTCACTGTATCACATTTTTTATATTAAAGGGAGAAAGCTCTCTAACTTTCAATAGCTCATGTTACAAAAGCGACCAATTTTGAGTTCTTCTGTTTATTGTTGCCTATCATTTGACCCTCTGTTGATTGTTGTTATTTTCAGCATCTTGACTCTGGAGATTCGTAGACAGATCCTCCAGCAATCGCCCCTGTCCAATCCTCAGGAGATATCAGCAATATATATATATATATATATATATATATATATATATATATATATATATATATATATATAATATATATATACCGGGTGTAACAGCTAAAGTGTCCAAATTAATTTTACAGGCTTTCAGATAAAACGTTCAGCTACCTTGACACTAGTTTTTCGTAAGCACCGCTGATAACCCTTTGAGTTATACAGCGAGAAAGAAAACAGGCTAAAATCGTTTTGCGTCAACCACAGCGTCTTCTCGACTGAGCAATGGTGAGAGGAAAAAGATCATTCAGGCCTTCAATAATGGTACGAACATTCATACTCTGGCTTCCATCTTCAAAGTCGATTCAAGAACCATCGAGGGAACGGTGAATAAGTTTAAACCAGAAGAAGGAAACAGTAGAGAGGAAAACTGGATCAGGAGGTCACAACAGGAAGAGGGATCACCATTTCAGCTTAGGACTAATGAGATTAATTAGAAAAGATCCAACTCAATCTATAAGACGTGTGAGAGTGGAGTTTCAGCCATGACAGTCCAAAGAGCAGTGAAAAAACTTGAAAATGAAATCGTACGTGAAATTTGTGACTCCAGGACAGAACGTTAGAAGGTTAGAGAGGGTGGAAATCATCTTGAAATAGTTGGAAAATCATCCTGGAATAATATATATATATATATATATATATATATATATATATATATATAAACTTCATTTCAAAACTTCATGAGCTTCCGATCCTTAGCTATGATTAATTAATGATAAACATCTCATTTTCGTTCATCACGACTCTGCTGTCAAGCTTGGAGAGTAATTGTGCATTCTTATTGCTCAGAGTAGAGTCTGATAGTGTTATGACAACCTCAGAGAATGCCAGTAAGATATTTTTAATCATTTGTAAGATAAAACACTTCAAAGCTTAATTGAACAATTTCGCTGTTACACGATTTGGACAATTTTACTGGTACACGATTTAGACAATTTTGCTGTTACACACGTTTTGCTGTTGGGCGCTGTATCTCACGGCTTACAAGACGCACTTTTTTCCCCTAAAAATACCCTGAAAAATACGTGCGCGTCTTCCAAGACGAATATAAGTCAACGCCCAGGCTCAAGTAAGCTTGTACGGTTACCTAATTGGCTTGACGGATATTTAAGGTATATTGCAAAAAGTAGTTACATACAATATGAAAAATGTTATTGGTTTTTGAAAACCTTTCATAAATATTCATACTTTTTCACAAATATTCAACAGGTTTGCCGAAAAGTGAGGCAAGCTTGTCACAAAGTAAAATACTTGTCTTGATAACATCCCTCAGAAAACGGGACGCGTTGGCTAAGATAAGTTTTCATTTTGTTATTCATATTGTCCTTCTATAGATATACTCCATATATATATATATATATATATATATATATATATATATATATATATATATAATCATAATTAATTCATCGAGTCTAGAAGAAACCTCAACAGAATGCAGAAAGTGAAATATGTGATCGAGTGGCGCTATATCGAGTCTAATTCGTTACCGCTTCGTCATCGAGGTCCATTAGTATACTTGTTATTGCAGTTTGCCCCCTATCGTAACTGTTCGGGTTTCAATTCTCGGTAGTGGATTCGTACTGCTGATGAGTCCCAAAATAGGCCGTCCACTGCATTCTGTTGAGGATTCTTCTAGACTCTATGAATTGATTATGATTATTCAAATCCTCCTTAATTTATATATATATATATATATATATATATATATATATATATATATATATATATATATTACAAATGAATCATTCATACAAAAAAGTAAATTAGTGAAGTTACTGAAATGAAATGGCGAATTTACTTCACAAACAAAATTTTAAAAATGCATTAACTTCCTAATCACTCGGTGAATGTTATGATCGCTGTTTTTTAAAATTATAAACAGTCTTCCTTAAATATGCAAGTCCTTTCGACGGGTTCTCCCGTCATCATCAGACATGGAAACTATTTTCTTTTTGATCAAATTCACCTTGCATCCGAGACGAAAAAATATATTGCAAATCGGAATATTTTTTTTAAAATGTGTTATTGATAACAGATCCAAACTTGTAGAGTTAAGATTGAATTTATGAAAATTTAAATGAGAGTGTTTTTTTTTTTTTACTAATATGGCAATTTAAGATTTTTTTTTGTTACAGGAGTTTATCATTTCGCCATTTTATATCATTAACTTTACTAATTTACTTTTTGTATTCATTGTGATATAAATTAAACTGCACCACATATAATCTATATATGTATATATACTTTTTATATTATATTTTTTATATTATATTTTTATATATGCACTACATAGGAAGAACGACTCACAGGCTGGATGGTAGGATTAAACACTTACCTACAAAAATCCGGAACTCTAATTATTCACCATCAGATGACCAATACATACGGGTCTTCTATCGGGAAACACCTTCTAAGTAACCGCAGTTTTGTGGCTAATTTCAGTGTGGACTTATTTTCTATCCTGAGTAGGTCATACTCAAATTAGCACCTTAAGATATAGGAGCCCATATATATTTTATCCATGAAGTGTTCACTCTGTAAACAGAAGAATTTTGTCCTTGGCCTCCTATTGATTTCCATTTAATATTTTCCCCTTATATTGTATTCCTTTTTATTGATGATATATGCATATTTGTTAACCTCGATTTGGATTTGTTAACCTCGATTTAGATTTGTTGAGCGAGGTTTGAAACCGGTCAGCTAGGTCGTTCTTCATTTTTTCATTTTATTATCTTGAGTGGTAGTATTAAAAACATTAAATTCTTTCTTTCTTTCCTTCTTTCTTAATATTTCATCTTTCTTTCTCATCTCAATATTTCTTTCTTCCTTCCTTCTTTCCTTCTTAATTTTCCCCTTTCTTTCTTACTCTCTCTCATTCGATCTTTCTTTTTTCTTTCTTTTAAAAATTTCCCCTTTCTTTCTTTCTTTCTTTCTTTCTTTCTTTCTTTCTTTCTTTCTTTTCATTCCCCTGTCTTTCTTTCTTTTGTTCTATTTCCCGTTTCGTTTTTCTTTCTTTCTGTTTTTTTTTCTATTTTTCTTTCTTTCTTAATGTTTTTCTGTTTTGCATATTCGTTCTTTCTGTCTTTCTTCTGTCTTTTCTATTTTTACTTTAAGTCTTTCTTTTTCTCAATATTTCTTTCTTTCTTTCTTTCTAAAATTTCCCTTTTCTTTCGTTCGGTCGTTCTTTCTTTTTTTCTTTCTTTCTTTCTTTCTTTCTTTCTTTCTTTATTTCTTTCTTTATTTCTTTCTAAAATTTCCCTTTTCTTTCGTTCGTTCGTTCGTTCTTTCTTTTTTTCTTTTTTTCTTTCTTTCTTTCTTTCTTTCTTTCTTTCTTAATTTCTTTCTTTCTTTCTTTCTAAAATTTCCCTTTTCTTTCGTTCGTTCGTTCGTTCTTTCTTTTTTTCTTTTTTTCTTTCTTTCTTTCTTTCTTAATTTCTTTCTTTCTTTCTTTCTAAAATTTCCCTTTTCTTTCGTTCGTTCTTTCTTTATTTCTTTCTTTCTTTCTTTCTTAATTTCTTTCTTTCTTTCTTTCTTCTTTCTTACTTTCTTTCTTACTAAAATTTCCCTTTTCTTTCGTTCGTTCGTTCGTTCTTTCTTTTTTTCTTTCTTTCTTTCTTTCTATCTTTCTTTCTTTCTTTCTTTCTAAAATTTCCCTTTTCTTTCGTTCGTTCGTTCGTTCTTTCTTTCTTTCTTTCTTTCTTTATTTCTTTCTTTCTTTCTAAAATTTCCCTTTTCTTTCGTTCGTTCGTTCTTTCTTTCTTTCTTTCTAAAATTTCCCTTTTCTTTCGTTCGTTCGTTCGTTCGTTCTTTCTTTCTTTCTTTCTTTCTTTCTTTCTTTCTTAATTTCTTTCTTTCTAAAATTTCCCTTTTCTTTTCGTTCTTTCTTTCTTTCTTTTTTCTTTTCTTTCTTTCTTTCTTTCTTTCTTTCTAAAATTTCCCTTTTCTTTCGTTCGTTCGTTCGTTCTTTCTTTCTTTCTTTCTTTCTTTCTTTCTAACCTAGCACAGTGCAGCCCATTCTTCATTCATTTTGTTTTGTAATTTTCTCTCTGTAAATTTATTTTTAATAAGAATAAAATTATCCAATTCTGTTAGTAATTGCAAAATTTCCATATGGCCAACTGGTTATTATCATTATTATTGTTGGTCGGCGGGTGAACAATACCCCGATCTACTTTTTTTTTAGACTAGAATCTTTATTATTGTTGTTTTAAATAATAATAATAATAATAATAATAAAAAGCTGGGATTTTTCGCACGCACTTAATAGTTTTAGTGAAGGTGTGTGGATAGCGAATATTGGGCCGTAAGGTGAACCGAATCTGCGTCGAGGTTTCAAATTGCATCTGAGATGCTTATGGTTTCTCAATAGAATTGATCTCACGAAAAGCTTTAATCCCAGTCATTTTTACCTTCCTCTACTCATCAGATACCTTGAAAAATATTTTGTTGACACTCAGACAAGCTCTGTGGAACCGACTCCCAAGAGGATGCTTCCCCGAATACAATCTTAACCTGTTCAAGTTTAGGGTTAACCGTTATCTTCCACACATATCCGCATAAACTTTGCTCCTTACTCTGTAACCCTCTACCTGCTTTGTGGAACCGACTCCCAAGAGGATCCTTCCCTGATCATTACAATCTTAACCTGTTTGAGTCTAGGGTCAACCGTTATCTTCCGCACATATCCGCATTAACTGTACCTCTTACTCGGTAACCCTCTACCTGCTTTGTGGAACCGACTCCCAAGAGGATGTTTCCCAGATCACTACAATCTTAACCTGTTCAAGTCTAGGCTCAACCGTTATCTTCCCCACATCTCCGCATAAATTGTACCTCTTATATTGTAACCCTCTACCTGCTTTGTGGAATCGACTCCCAAGAGGATGCTTCCCTGATCACTACAATCTTAACCTGTTCAATTCTAGGGTCAACCGTTATCTTCCTCACATATTCGCATAAATTATGCCTGTTACTCTTAACCCTCTACCTGCTTTGTGGAACCTACTCCCAAGAGGATGCTTCCAGGATCGCTACAATCATAACCTGTTCAAGTCTTGGATTAACCATTATCCTCCACACACAGAGTTATAACTTGTGCTTTTTAATCTGTAACCCTCTACTTCGAGTGGCTCTTGAGCCTTGTACAGAGTCAACATTTTTGTAAAATAGTTTGTTTTTGTTTTAACTGCATATAGACATCAGTAGGTAATGCCAACAAATTTTTATTGCTGGTAATTTTTTTTTCAAAAATATAGTGCTGGTATTTAAAACCAATTTTTACACTTTCATAGCTTTTTGACCCCCAGTTTATGGGTTAACTATTTGCCCATAGCTGGAACCCTAACAAGTGCTACCACCCCGGGTCAGGGTTGACTCACCAACGACAGCAACTCCACGCTCCTCAAAACCTCCTGATCAGAGGCCTTGCTGCCGAATGTAGTTCATCGTCATACCCAGGACTCGTAAAATAATTCGCCATTTCTACTCTAACAGTTTCTTTTCTTGCACTTCTCAACAGTGGAATTTACTTTTGATTTCTTGCTTCTCTGCTACCTTCAAAAAATTTAAATGCAACGTCAATCACCATCTTTGTCTTCTTGAACCCTTTTCCTTTAGTGTCCTTTCCTTAATCTTCTCCGCTAAATTCTTCTCGTTCTCTTTCCCTTTTAGCCCCCTGACACACCTTCTGACTACAGAAATTGGATCATTGCCTTTTGTTTCACCTTTGTAACACTGCCAGCGGAGCGGTCATGTTTACACTGTAACAGCAAACTTCGATCACGTCACAATAATAGTACCAACTATAACCGCGCATGAGCAGAAGAGCGACAAAACTAAAGATATGTTATGGTGAAAGAGCGGATAATTTTTGACTTACCCTCGTACATTAAATACCCTCATGCAACGACGCACCAAGAGAGACTCGGTCCTTCTTTTATAATATAAATTCGTCCATCAAATTCTTCTTTCTCTATGTGCCGTATCGCTTCAGGACGTTGTTGATCATGGTTCTCCACAATTCCCTGTCCTCTTGTCTTTTTGTCTTTTTGTTATCTCTCCTAAACCCTGTTCTGTCATCCATTTACTTAACTTCATTCTTCTTCTTCTTCTTCTTCTTCTTCTTCTTCTTCTTCTTCTTCTTTTCTGTGCCATGTTCCTTCAGAACGTTGTCGGTCATGGCTCTCCACAATTTCCTGTCCTCTTGTCTTTTTGTTATCTCTCCTAAACCCTGTTCTATCATCCATTTAATTAACTTCATTCTTCTTCTTCTTCTTCTTCTTTTCTGTGTCATGTTCCTTCAGAACGTTGTCGGTCATGGCTCTCCACAATTTCCTGTCCTCTGTAACGCTTAGTAAATTTTGTCTTTTGGTTATCACCCTGTTCTGTCATCCAATTACCCGAGCTCATTCTCCTTCTATGTACCGTGTACCTTCAGGACGTGGGCGATTATGGCTCTCCACAATTTCCTGTCCTTTGTTATCTCTCCTAAACCCTATTCTGTCATTCATTTACTCACGCTCCTTCTTCTTCTTCTTCTTCTTCTTCTTCTTCTTCTTCTTCTTCTTCTTCACTGTGCTATATCCCTTCAGGACAATTTCTTGTCTTTTGTAGCGTTCAGTAAATGTTGTCTTTTTGTTATCTTTCTGTTCTGTCATCCAAACTCGAAGGAAGGTGTTTTACTCTGCTTTCAATATGTCCTGGGGGTATCAAATTTTCCAAGCCCTCTTTCCTCATTATGTGATTCATAAATTTCAACTCTCTCTTCCTGACGTTAATTTTTTGTCCTTTTTGCTTCCATTTTCACATGTCTGGTCCATGGTATTCTCAACATCCTTTTGTAGAACCACATTTCCGCTGCCTCAAGTCTCTTCTTCACCTATGAGGAAATTGTCCAGCATTCCCTGACATATAACAGGACTGATATTATGTAACAGTACAGTACTCTTTCCTCTTGCTTAATACTCTGCATCGCTATCCCAATGAAGTCGTTTTTTTTATTTTATCGCCAATGTTCTTCCGTAGCAAATTTTAACTAGAAAACATTTTTTCGACGATGATATTCCTGTTAGCCGACACTTGAACTTTTAACACAAGTTAGCTGTTGAAAGTGGGTGGAAATAATTCTGAGGTTTTACCCTCAGTTAATTAAAGAGAAGGCTTGTAAAGAGGTGAAGTCTTTGAATAAATTCCCGCCCAAAATTATGAGAAACAGACGACAAGAAAATGGAAGAATTTAAGCGCTTGGAAGATGGAGAAAGGAAAAGTCTATATAATTTGCATTTTGATGTGTTTTCCTAATAATTCATTTTATATTAGGGATAGTAATTACGAACGCTATGAATTATGGGTCAACCAGCGAATTGTACAACCGGTGTTGAATAGTACGACACTGACGCTTAGAATTAGTTTTTCATTTTAACTATCCGACAGTGTCGTTTATACCATTTTTTTTGTGCATTGTACGAGAAATTTTGAATGAAAATTAAAGGTAAAAAAGAGTGAAGCGTATTATACACAAATACACGTTTTCAGAAATTTTTACTCAGCTTAAAAATATACTCTTATTTGAAACAGCAATATTGTGAATGCACTCAGCACAATAGATAATAAAATACAAAGTAGGCAGGTGTTGATAACAATTGTTTACAAAAGGTATTTGATATGTCGGCCATATTTGTTCTTTGGGAATCAGCGTAATTGAACGCCTTTCGTCTCAAAGACAGGAAATTCACCGAAATTGATTTTTAAAAAAATAATAAAGGGAATACACTTGTCATCTTTTGATAACATTACTGTTACAACAAAGCGCCTTTCCCCGAAGATCCGTAAATAACTTTTGAAACGGAAATTAGAAGAAAAATGCAATGGCTGAACATCGGGTTCATTTCTCTGCTATAATATCATGGAAAAAATTAAATATTTTAGCAAAATACATGTCCGACGAAGCACGGTGGAGTAATGGATAGCGGCTCGGATTAAGGAATCGGAGAGCCGAGTTCGAATTCCGGTCGAATCCATTATATTCACTTACGTGCTAATACCCTTTGGGAAATGTATGACTCCTCTTTTTTTTCTCCCTATCTATGGGTAAATAACAGGACAGACCGGGTTCTATAGCCTTGTATGGCAACTTGTCTACCGCAGAAAGAAATGGCAACCTAATGAGGGAAAAAACCTGCTTCGTCAGTCATGTATTTAAAGATACATGATCGCTTAAGCGTGTATCACGCATGGCACTTAACTGACTGACTGACTTTCCAATTGAATCCATTACATTCACTTACGTGCTAATACCTTTGGGAAAGGTATGAATCCTCTTCTTCTCCCCCAGCTATGGATAAATAGCAGGACAGACTAGGTTCTATAGTCTTGAATGGCAACTGGTCTACCGCAGAAAGAAATGGCAACCTACTGCGGGAAAAAATTCTTCCCTTGGGATAGGTATGAATCCTCTTCTTCTTCCCTAGCTATGGGTAAATAGCAGGACAGGCCGGGTTCTATAGCCTTGGATGGCAACTGGTCTACCGCAGATAGAAATAGCAACCTAATGAGGGAAAAAATCTGCTTCGTCAGTTATGTATCGAAAGACACATTATCGTCTAAGCACATAACTGAAGTGATATGTACGACACTGAGTTTTTAAGGGATGCTTTTTGAAACCTTTTAAGGTCGTAGGTGCACAACGCATCAGAACTCAACTATCTCCAGGCTGGTTTGAATTAAGTATTCCTTCTCCTAGACTGGTTTACAACACCATAGCCGGGGGAAAAGAAGGATTTATACCATTTAGTAAAATTGTCCTTTCGATTAATTTTCATTCAAACATTTTACAATTCGAATTTTTTTTTTTCGAATAATTGTTTCCGAAACAAAATTCTCGAAAATCTTTCTCTCTTTAATAATCTGTTGTGCTTAGTTTGATTTGTAACGTATATAAATATAAGTAGAGTCAAAGAGCAATGGCCGGGGCCCCCAATAAGGCTTCACCTACCGCCACCCCTGGAAGGATGGGCTTTGCGCGTAGTACACGCAGGTCCTGTGGGTTGGTGCTATCCAGTCCTCACCGTCCATCCACGGCAAAAGAGGCCTTGTGGATTATTAATCATTCACCACCTTTATCCCACAGACGAAACATTGCAAGCCTCTCACTAATCTATCGTTATAGCTATGGCAAATGTTCAGACGTGTTAAACATTAAACCCACCAGCTCAGACGTTCGCTGCTAGGGCTTGCAGTTCCATGTTTACGGTGGGAAATCATCTCCATTCCTTTCTAGTTTCAGCGTCAACCAACACCATTCCTACACACAACACGACCACGAGACTCGTAATTCATTAGAGCCTAGGCGCAACATATTGTAACAGCAGATAACTTGACGGGGCCCAACCTTCCCTAAGCTGGCTTAAATCAAGAGTTTTCCCTCTTGTATACTAGTTGTCAAATCAAGCTAATAGGACTCAGTCTGTGCAGCTTTTTACCTATGACTGGGAGAGAAGTGATGTATTCATAACTTTCCCAAGAAAGGTATTGCTGTAGCATACCTACGGACGATAAGGGGTATGTCCCCATTCACATAAATACAGTAGTAAATACTGTATGTTGGTCTGCAGTTTGAGATTCATCTCCAGCTGTGCTGGTTAAACTATCTGCTTCCGGGCAGAGACTTCCCAGACGACGCTATGTCGAAGGGCAGCAACCCGACCCCGTTTTATACGGAGTCTACGGGGAATACTTGGGCGAGTCTACGGGCTCGGATATCCCACATTAAATTCAGCCACGTGCCATATCTGATAGCGTGGGGCGGTTAGTTGGTAGATATCCTGGAGTTGCAGATTCGTCTCCAGTTGTGTTGGTCATATTCTCTGCCTCCGGGCAGAGAGGATCCTCACACGAGGTTATTTCGAAGGGCAGAATCTCGTCTCGGGGAACAGCTACCCGACCCCGTTTTATACGGTGTCTACGGGAAATTTTAGGCCGAGACACCCAGGCTAGGATACCCCAGGGGCTCGGATACCCCAGGGGCTCGGATACCCCAGGGGCTCGGATACCCCAGGGGCTCGGATACCCCAGGGGCTCGTATGCCCCACATTGAATTCGACTTTGTGCCACATCTGACTGCAGTTGGAGATTCCTTGTGGAATTCACTTTACTCGCTTCTAGCAGTTGACTACTACTTCTACGCGCCGCTGGCGAATCTTATATGCGTTGTCCGTGTCCTAAGTAATATCGTTCATTACCAACTTTCGTTTGATTATTCTATTCGGTAACCTTCCTTAGGTTACAACAGGTATGTATACATCACTTCAAGCAGGTGTCTATTATTAGTCCACCGTGAGTCTAATTATTAGAAAATTTCTAAATTCGAGACTTAACATGGGGAAAAATAAGACCCCAGAATGAAGTCTTTTTTTTTAAAATATAGTCAAATGCTGGTAAGATAGGGAGGGTCGTAAAGCACGGGTGGGGCCACCAATCAGGCTTGATCAGCACCCATGTCAAACAGCTTACAGTCGGACTTAGGTCTCTGAAACTTCCAAATTTTTACAAAATTTAAAATACATATGGAAGATATTTTAAACCGGGAATGTGATCAACGTTTGAAGATTGGATAGAGCAAATTTTCGATTGTAAAACATGGTCTAACATCCTCTGCAAGACCATCGTGCAAGGCAATGTTGAAGGCGGACGAAAATAGGTGTAACACTTATCCTGACCCAACTGGATCCATGTACTATACAAGACGGGCTGTTGGTCCTGTTCTGGTCCTGTATTACAGGTTCAATCAAAGTCTCCGGTTTACAATGTCGATTTGATTCCACATTCCAGTCACGTTGTGATTTTTTTGATCCTGGAGAGCAATTAACAAATCGTAGATCCCGATTCTCGTCACAACGGCGAGCATCGGGCCAAGCAGAAAAATCAAATATGAACGAGTCGATTCGAGTCCAAAGAAAAATTTACGTATATGTATATAAGGAAGAAATTGGTGCAAAACGAATAATGCTTCTTTTACAAGAAAGTAGTGTACATGAAATAAAGTCCAGAAAAAAAAAACAAATATTGCAAATAATTCTGAAAGGAGAGAAGTAGTTTTCGGGTTCACCCTTTTTGTTCTTAGTAAAGGCCGTAATTATTTCTCTATCAGGACATAAGAGGGTTCACTGGCAGTATGACGCCAATATTTCAGAGTTCACCTCCTCTCTTATTACAGCAACAAGCAGGCGCTTTCACTCTCTCTCTCTCTCTCTCTCTCTCTCTCTGGTCGACTGTTTGTTAACTCAGATTTCGACTGACTTCGTCTCGTCTCGTCTCGACTCTTTTTCGCCCAAACACCCGCTTAAATGAACGCGGTGGTAGCGATTAAAAACCCTGACTGTTGGTAAACTTAGAATACAACCTGATTACTGACCTCTCCCCCTTCATGATTAAATGAACAGTCTCTTATTCTGAATTGGTATTCCATAGTTCATATAAACACTATTGTTTTGACATTTTATATTTAATAATTCTGACGAAGCACAGATTCTCTGGGCACAAACCTCACCACAGATTGTTTTTCTCATCTATAAACAAAATTCTATATTGCTATAATTGTTAATATTTCAAGGATGACCATTACTCTCTGCCACACAGGAATATCAACACAAGATCTGATCAGATAACGTCAAAGAGTGGGCAGACATAAAAATGCAGGAACTGCTGAGAACCATCCTGGAGAAGGTTGTGTTTCTTCTGTTCGCAGGTATCCCCGAAGATTGAAGCAGTCGATGGACTCAAGGAAAAAGGATCCAGGCGTTCGAGAACAAATGCTTGAGAAATCTCCTCCGCATCTCATACTGAGAGCATAAAACCAATGATTATGTATGGAGCAAGGTCGAAAGACTCTTGGACAAACAGGAATCTCTTCACGCCACTATTAAGCCTCGGAACATGTCATGGTTTGGCCACGTCACACGACATAACAACCTCTGCAAGACCATCATGCAAAGCAGTGTTGGAGTCGGACGTAAGCGGGGTCAGCAACGGAAAAGCTGGTCAGACCAGATCAAAGAGTGGACGGACAAGACAATGACATAACCCCTGAGAGCGAACCGCTAAAAGATCATCCTGGAGGAGGTTATGTGCTTCTTTTGCCCTCAAGTACGCCAGACGATTGAAGCAGTCGATGGACTGATGATGACGAATCAAGGAAAAAGGATCCAGGCATTCAAGAACAAATGCTTGAGAAAACCCCTCCGCATCTCGTATTGGACGCTCAAAACCAATGACTATGTATGGAGCAGGATCAAAAGTCTCTTGGGTCGACAGGAATTTCTTCTCGTCAATATTATTTATACCGTGGACAGGTATTGAACTCACAATTCTTTGGATTCCTCAACCAACGCTTTTATCAACAGTGTTATGTGTCCTTGTGGACATCAATGAATTAATTCTTAGGACTTATAATCTTAATGTGTTATTGTAATTTTTTTTTTTTACCAGAGCTCATATTACAATTTCTGTTATTGTTTTTTTGTTTCTTTTTTCTCTCTGCCCTCTGTATTACTGCTTCCTATAGTGTATTCATGTTTATGCTTGGCTAGCTTAGGAGAGTTTTATAGCCTACGTCAGCTTCCATAACATGTTCAAGCCTTTAAAAATCGTGAGGGAAAGAGGGTTATGTTGTCTTATCGATATCTACAGCTAAAGAGGAAGAGGGTTTACAGCTCCGCCCTTTTATAGTCCTGAATCAGACGCCTAGAGTGCGTCTTGGCAGACAAATTGGTTGTAATACCAAATAATACGGTATAAGCAACGTCGAGCATGGTCAGTACCTAGATGAGTGATCGCTTGGGAAAAAACCAGGCGTTGTACGCTTTGGATGTGAGGGTGGTATAAAAAGGTTTAACACATCACGTTGAAACATCGCTTATTGTCCTATCACCGAAGTTAAGCAACGTCGAGCATGGTCAGTACCTAGATGAGTGACCGCTTGGGAAAACCAGGTGTTGTACGCTTGTATGTGAGGGTGGTATTAAAGGGCTTAAGACTACATCACGTTGAAACATTGCTTATCGTCCTATCACCGAAGTTAAGCAACGTCGAGCATGGTCAGTACCTAGATGAGTGATCGTTTGGGAAAACCAGGCGTTGTACGCTTTGGATGTGAGGGTGGTATTAAAGGGCTTAAGGCTACATCACGTTGAAACATCGCTTATCGTCCTATCACCGAAGTTAAGCAAGGTCGAGCATGGACAGTACCTAGATGAGTGATCGCTTGGGAAAACCAGGTGTTGTACGCTTGTATGTGAGGGTGGTATTAAAGGGCTTAAGACTACATCACGTTGAAACATTGCTTATCGTCCTATCACCGAAGTTAAGCAACGTCGAGCATGGTCAGTACCTAGATGAGTGATCGCTTGGGAAAACCAGGCGTTGTACGCTTTGGATGTGAGGGTGGTATTAAAGGGCTTAAGGCTACATCACGTTGAAACATCGCTTATCGTCCTATCACCGAAGTTAAGCAACGTCGAGCATGGTCAGTACCTAGATGAGTGACCGCTTGGGAAAACCAGGCGTTGTACGCTTTGGATGTGAGGGTGGTGTAAAGGGCTTAAGACTACATCACGTTGAAACATTGCTTATCGTCCCATCACCGAAGTTAAGCAACGTCGAGCATGGTCAGTACCTAGATGAGTGATCGCTTGGGAAAACCAGGCGTTGTACGCTTTGGATGTGAGGGTGGTATAAAGGGTTTAAGGCTACATCACGTTGAAACATCGCTTATTGTCCTATCACCGAAGTTAAGCAACGTCGATCATGCTCAGTACCTAGATGAGTGACCGCTTGGGAAAACCAGGTGTTGTACGCTTGTATGTGAGGGTGGTATTAAAGGGCTTAAGGCTACATCACGTTGAAACATCGCTTATCGTCCTATCACCGAAGTTAAGCAACGTCGAGCATGGTCAGTACCTAGATGAGTGACCGCTTGGGAAAAGCAGGTGTTGTACGCTTTGGATGTGAGGGTGGTATAAATGGTTTAAGGTTACATCACGTTGAAACATCGCTTATCGTCCTATCACCGAAGTTAAGCAACGTCGAGCATGGTCAGTACCTAGATGAGTGACCGCTTGGGAAAACCAGACGTTGTACGCTTTAGATGTGAGGGTGATATAAAGGGCTTAAGGCTACATCACGTTGAAACATCGCTTATCGTCCTATCACCGAAGTTAAGCAACGTCGAGCATGGACAGTACCTAGATGAGTGATCGCTTGGGAAAACCAGGTGTTGTACGCTTGGATGTGAGGGTGGTATAAAGGGTTTAAGGCTACATCACGTTGAAACATCGCTTATCGTCCTATCACTAAAGTTAAGCAACGTCGAGCATGGTCAGTACCTAGATGGGTGACCGTTTGGGAGTTCTACGTGCTGTACGCTTGGATGTGACCTGGCCAGTAATCCCTTGCATCCTAGTGGCTTTATTGCCTTTGATCTTCAAACATATAAATGCAATGTCAATCGTTATCTTCTATCTTCTTAATTCCTGTTCTTTTATTGTCCTCTCTCCTTAATAGTAGTTTTTTGTCATATTCTGTAATACTCAGTAACCCCTTGCGTCCTAGTGGCTTTATTGTCTTTGATAATCAAACATTTAAATGCAATATCAATCGTTATCTTCTGTCTTCTGTCTTCTTATTTTTTATTGTCCTCTCTCCTTAATAGTAGATTTTCTCATATTCTCTAACACTCAATAACTCCTTGCGTCCTAGTGGTTTTATTGCCTTTGATCTTCAAACATTTAAATGCAATCTTAATCGTTATCTTCTGTCTTCTTAATTCCTGTTCTTTTATTGTTCTCTCTCCTTAATAATGTTAATTAAGGAATTACAACGTGAGGTATTCTGGGTTGAGGAATGCTCAACGGAATGCATCTTGTCAAATATGTTACTTTTTCCACGGCTAGAAGATTATACCCACCGCCCGGCTGAGTTCACATCCATTGTTTCCTCACCGTAAATGATCAGCAATCCTCGATGACTAATATTGGGTGCAGTCTCTGACCGTGTGGGGAACTTAGCGATAAAACTCTTCTTTGTACGCGCTCTCATTAGCCGAGGTTGGTTGATTTTAAATGTCAATTCTTGTTGTGTCGATGTAGGCATTGTGTTTCTTTTGAAAGTCGCGTCTTCACGCGTCAGTGGACGTCATGTCGGGTGTTTCAAGCATCGTGTCTTTACGGTCAGTTTGTGGTGCGGTATCGTTTATTTATATTTTTTCATCATTGTGAAAGATATTTAGTATGTTTGCACCTAAACTAAAAACCCAAAACAATTACATGGGTCTCCACTAGTTCCTGTTTTTTTGTTGATCTTTGACAATTAACATCCCTATTTGTCCCTGTTCTTCAGTTCATACATACCAACAAATAAATAAATAAATAAGTACTATTTAGATTGTTCGGACTGTTATCCTAATCTTTGTTGCAATATTTACGTTTCGGTCGTTGCTCTGGCTTTCTTCAGGATCTGTCTATATTTTTGAGAGAAGGTATTGTAATTATTTACACTATTTACATTATTCGGACTGTTATCCTCATCTTTGTTGCCATATTCACGACGTTTCGACCGTTGTACGCTCTGTCCTTCTTCAGATGAGTGAATCTCTGAGATGATCTATTATTATTAAGAAGAATTAAGAAGACAGGAGATAACGATTGACATTGCATTTAAATGTTTGAAGGCAATAAAGCCACTAGGATGCAAGGGGTTACTGAGTGTTATGAGAAAAACTACTATTAAGGCGAGAGGACAATAAAAGAAGAAGAATTAAGAAGACAGAAGATAATGATTGACATTGCATTTAAATGTTTGAAGATCAAAGGCAATAAAGCCACTAGGACGCAAAGGGTTACTGAGTGTTAGAGAATATGACAAAAACTACTATTAAGGCGAGAGGACAATAAAAGAAGAACAATTAAGAAGACAGAAGATAATGATTCATATTGCATTTAATTGTTTCAAGATAAAGGCAATAAAGCCACTAGGACCAAGGATTTACAGACTATTGGAGGACATGAGAAAAACTATTATTAGGGAGACAGAACAATAAAAGAACAGGAATTAAGAAGACAGAACATTACGATTGACATTGCATTTAAATTGTTGATGATCAAAGTTGACTGGGAAGCAAGAAGTAGGAAGAGAGTTCCAAGAGTTAGAATGCATTAGAAGAAACGGTTAGCATAGAACTTACGGTTACATCTTGCTGTAAAATGATGAGACCTTGCTGCCATTCTGGTATTGTGCTTAAATTGGTAAAGTCTAGGCAGCACAGAGGAAAGTAATATTTATTTTGAGTCATACAATAATATGGCTCAAGGCCAAAATGGAATATGGGAAGGCTGGTCTTCAGTCTGTCTTAAATTTAGCTAACCACGATTACTGACCACTTTATTCCTTGCACCAAAACAACACATTCTTACCCATCACTCTTACTTCAATCACCATAATACCTCTAGTCTCTATATAGTTCTAACTAGTTTTGACTTTTACAATTTGTCTGTGGTAGGTGAGGAATAAAATTAACAATTTTTAATAATGAACCCCTAATGAATAGCATAGAGGAATTTTCATCAGAACAATTAACCTGAAGGTATTTATAGAAAAGGGAACTACGTTGTGGCAGTGGGAAAATGACTTAAGCTGAGATGCCAAGTCAGGACCAACAACATGGCAGAGTCTTCTTTGGATTTTATCACGAATCTTTAAATATTTAACAAGAGCACCAGACCCAATGTGGCGGCAATATACAAAGGATCCCTCATATCCGGAGAGCCTCATATCCGGAATCCCGCATATCCGGTATCCCTCATATCCGCAGAGCCTTATATCCGGAATTCCGCATATCCGGTATCCCTCATATCCGGAGAGCTTCATATCCGGAATCCCACACATCCGGTATCCCTCATATCCGGAGAGCCTCATATCCGGAATCCCGCATATCCGTACAAGATTTTGATGTGTATATTTGAACTATTTGGGTGATATGTAACTGATTTGAAATATAAGAAGTGTCCAGTTCGTGAAACAGTTGAACAAAACGTATTAGCCCAATTTTATTGGAAGGGATAAGGGGTTAAATGAGAAGATACAGATAAGGGAGAGAGAAGAGTAGATTCATTAAATAATGGATACTCTTATTTGAACTGGATGCGATAAGGGAGCAAATCAGTCTGAGAATGAGGGAGAGAAAGAGAAATGGAGGGAGAGATAAAGAAAGAGAGGCAGACAGAGAAAGATAGAACAGTGGGAGGGTGAAACAGAAAAAGAGAGAGCGTTAGAAAGAGAAAGCGAAAGAGAGAGAAACAGAAAGAAAGGGAGAACTAGAAGGAGGAAGACGAAATATGGAAAGAGAAAAAGAGAAAGAGATAGAGAGGAAGATAGAAAAAGAGACAGAGAGAAAAAAGAGACAGAAATAAAGAGCTAAAGAAAGAAACAGAGAGAGTGAGAAAAAAAGAAAGAGTCAGTGAGAAAGACAGAATGTGAGTGAAAGTGTGAGAGAGAGCCAGAGAGAAAGAGACAGAGAAGGAGACATGGAGAAAAAGAGAGACGGAGAGAGAGAGAGAGAGAGAAGTAGAAAGAAAGACAGAAAGAAAGAGAGAGTGAAAGAGAGAGATAGGGAATCCGAAAGAAATAGAGAGATAAAGAAAGTGTGTGAAAGTGAAAAAGAAAAAAGAAAGAAAGATAGGGATAGAGAAGGAGAAAGAAAGAGATAGAAAGAGAAAGTGAGTGAGAGAAAGCAAGAGAGAAAGAGAAAGAGAATGAGAAAGAGTGATAGAGAAAAAGAGAGAGACAGGGAAGAAGAATAAATAACTAAAGAAAGAAATAAACAGAAAGAGAGAGCGAGAGAAAATGAGATAGAGAGAAAGAGAGAGAAGGTGAAGGCGAAAGAAAGAAAGAAAGAAAGAAAGAAAGAAAGAAAGAAAGAAAGAAAGAAAGAAAGATAAAAACAGAGAGAGAAAGGGAGAGAGAATGAGTGACATAGAGAGAAATAGAGAAGGAGAAAGAAAGAGATAGGAAGAGAGAGAGAGAGCAACAGAGAGAAAGAAAGAGAGAAGGAGAGAGATATAGAGAAGGAGAAAGAAAAAAAGAGAGACAGACAGACAAAGAGAGATAAAGAGAGATAGAGAAGGAGAAAGAAAGAGAAATAGAAAGAGAGAAAGAAATAGGAAGAGAGACAGAGAAAAAGAGAGAACGAGAGACGGAAAGAGAGAAAGAGATAGAGATAGAGAAGGCGAAAGAAAGAGTGATAGAAAGAGAGAAATAAATAGAAAGAGAGAGGGAGAGGAAGAGAGAAGGGAGGAAGAGGGAGAGAGAGATAAAGGCGAAAGAAGGAGAGATAGAGAGAAATAGAAAGAGAGACGGAGAAAAATAGAGAACGAGAGACGGAAAGAGAGAAAGAGAAAGAGTTAGAGAAGGCGAAATAAAGCGTGATAGAAAGAGAGAGGGAGAGGGAGAGAGAGAGGGGGAGAGATAGAGATAGAGGAGAAAGAAGGAGAGATAGAAAGAAATAGAAAGAGGGACGGAGAAAAATAGAGAACGAGAGACGGAAAGAGAGAAAGAGAGAGAGTTAGAGAAGGCGAAAGAAAGCGTGATAGAAAGAGAGAGGGAGAGGGAGAGAGAGGGAGAGGGAGAGAGAGATAAAGGAGAAAGAAGGAGAGATAGAAAGAAATAGAAAGAGAGACGGAGAAAAATAGAGAACGAGAGACGGAAAGATAGAGAGAGGGAGAGATAGAGAAGGCGAAATAAAGCGTGATAGAAAGAGAGAAATAAATAGAAAGAGAGAAAGAGAGAGAGGGAGAGGGAGAGAGAGAGAGAGAGAAATATGGAAGTAGGAACGTGTTAAAACCTGACTTGCACACAAGCACGCCATCTTAATGAAACGGCCTATTCTGTGTGTTCACTCTCCTTGCACCGAAAACGTATCAGTTTCCACCTTCAACGAACTAATGGCCACTTTTTTTATATAACGTCAGCTGCGCTCTCGCCCTTTTTCCTTCTTCTTTCCTGTCTATAATGCCCACCGCGCCCAAATGTACTTTCCCGCCCTCCGCTACTGCAGACGCCCTCCTCTACATCCCCAAATAATAATAATAATCATAATAATAATAATAAAAAGGATATATTGAAGATGAAGGAACGTAACTGCTTCACTGACGATGTGGTACCCGATTCTCTGCCACTTCTTGGGTAGGTATATTTACTTCACGGGTACAGAGGCAACGCTTTCAACAGGTGAATGCGTTTACAGGTTAAAAGCTAAAAAACGGCTGAAGATTGGGATTTTTTTTTTTTTTTTGGCTTAATATCCTTTTTTGGTTTTTCTTGCATGCTTTCTTTTTTTTTTTACTGCTAAGTTTTTTCGTTCTTTCTAGATTTTTTTTTTTTTTTTTTTTTCTCTTTCTTTCTTTGAAATATTTGTCGCTTTTTTTTTTTTCGCCTGGCTTCGTTTATTAGAATTTTTTCGTTCTTTCTTTCGTTCTTCAGAATATCTGTCGTTTTTCTTTCATAGCTTTATTTGTTTGTTTCTTTCTTTCTCCTTTCTTTCTTTCATATTTCGCTTTCTTTGTTTGTTGTTTTTCTTTCATAGCTTTGTTTTATTGTTTGTTTGTTTGTTTCTTTCTTTCTTTTTTCATAATATTTATTTCTTCTGTTCTTTCTTTCTTTCTTTAAATATTTTTCGTTTTTTCTTCCTTCATTTATTTGTTAGTTTTTCTTTCTTTCTTTAAAAATTCTGTCGTTTTTCTTTCATAGCTTTGTTTCTTTGTTTCTTTCTTATCTTTCTTTTTCTTTCTTTCTTTCTTTCTTTCTTTCTTTCTTTCTTTCTTTCTTTCGTGTCTTTCTTTCTTTCTTTCTTTCTTTCATTTCTTTCTTTCTTTCTTTCGTGTCTTTCTTTTCTATTTTCTTTCTTTCTTTTTTTCTTTCTTTCTTTCTTTCTTTGCTCCATAAAAGTTCATATTTATTTTTATTTTTCTCTTCATTAATGTACAGCAATTTCTTCCTTTCTTTCTTCCTTTCTTGTTTCTTTCTTTCTTTCATACGTTCGTCTCTCTCCTGTTCTTTCTTTCTTTCATACGTTCGTCTCTCTCCTGTTCTTTCTTTCTTTACCCCATAAAATATCCCCTTATATAATAATAATAATAATAATAATAATAATAATAAGAAGAAGAAGAAGAAGAAGAAGATTAATAATAATAATAATAATATAGTAGAAAAATTGACAGTCTTTAGATGTTTACAGGAAATAGGCTTTTGAAGTAAAAGGCTGCAAAAAAATGTAAATACTTTTGATACACTCGAATGAATAATAATAATAATAATAATAATAATAATAATAATAATAATAAAAGTAGTAGTAGTAGTAGTAATAATAATAATAATAATAATAATAATAATAAATCTTCAAAATACAAGGAGCTTGAAATGTAAATCTCAAAAATGTGGCACATGGGAACATCAACAATCCCTTTTGTAGTTGGAGCCCTCGGATTGATTGGAAAAGGTCCCGAGAGACTCAATGGAGTGATTTCTGGAAGCCCATGCGTTAAGGAAATTCCAAAAAAAATTGTTCTCATGAGTACAGACCACACATTATGAAGGGATTTTTCTATGTAAAATATGTTTTTTTTTTTGTTTTTTTTCTAACTGCTCAATAGAAAATATCATGATGCCATTTTCGACCTTAGTTCTCTGGTTGAGACCCGGAAAGACATACACCAAAAACCAAAGGAAATAAAACAACAACAACAACAATAATAATAATGTAACGATTAAAATTACAAAAATGAAATCCTTGATCCGAGTTCAAAATTTGGATGAGACACTTTACGTTTGTACTAATAGCCTTGGAAAAGGCATGAATCATTCTTTTCTGCATGTCACCTCCGCTCTGGGGAGTATTAATTTGGAAAGAAAGTCCCGTCACGTTTCTAGTATGGTCATTTTGAGGGTAATTTTTCAATACGTTCGGTAAAAATATCTGTTTCTAATATTTTTTTTGATCCTAAAAAATCTAAATGCAATGTCAATCGTTATCTTCTGTCTTGATTCTTCTTCTTTTATTATTCTCTCTCCTCCATAATGTTTTTCCTTTTCTTATATTATTTCATCTCTGTAATTCCTTACGTCTCAGTGGCTTTATTTCCTTGCTTGATCCTTTTTAGGATCAAAAAATTATCATACTGTTCTTTCTTTACAGGGCGTGAGTGCTTGGTATTGAACTCACACTCTTTGGGTTCTGTCATTAGATCTAACACACGCCTTTATCCATTGTGCCATGTGTCCTTGTTCAATACTTGGTTAAGGCGGGGGAGAACGTTGAGAGAGGAATTAACAGGAGATAACTGACATCCATCAGACATGGAATGTGGAACTAGAACAGTGAGCGAAAGAAAGGGTTCAGTTCGACATTCCAACTACCTGAAGAAGGCCAGAGTGTACAACGGCCGAAACGTTGTGATAAACATGGCGACAAAGATGAGGACAATAGTCCGAATAATGTAAATAGTGTACAAAATACCTCATCTCAGAAATATAGACAGATACTGAAAGGCCGAAACGTTGTAATAAATATGGCAACAAAGATGAGGACAATAATCCAAATAATGTAAATAGTGTACATAATACCTCATCTCAGAAATATAGACAGATACTGAAGGGCCGAAACGTTGTAATAAATATGGCGACAAAGATGAGGACAATAGTCCGAATAATGTAAATAGTGTACAAAATACCTCATCTCAGAAATATAGACAGATACTGAAAGGCCGAAACGTTGTAATAAATATGGCGACAAAAATGAGGACAATAGTCCGAATAATGTAAATAGTGTACATAATACCTCATCTCAGAAATATAGACAGATACTGAAAGGCCGAAACGTTGTAATAAATATGGCGACAAAGATGAGGACAATAGTCCGAATAATGTAAATAGTGTACATAATACCTCATCTCAGGAATATAGACAGATACTGAAGTGCTAAAACGTTGTAATAAATATGGCGACAAAGATGAGAACATTAGTCCGAATAATGTAAATAGTGTACAAAATACCTCATCTCAGAAATACAAACAGATACTGAAGGGCCGAAACGTTGTAATAAATATGGCGACAAAAATGAGGACAATAGTCCGAATAATGTAAATAGTGTACATAATACCTCATCTCAGAAATATAGACAGATACTGAAAGGCCGAAACGTTGTAATAAATATGGCGACAAAGATGAGGCCAATAGTCCGAATAATGTAAATAGTGTACATAATACCTCATCTCAGAAATATAGACAGATACTGAAAAAAGTTGTTACCAGCAATACATTATTTACCAGCCATAGATTTTTGAAAAAAAATATTGCCAGCCGTACATTTTTAAAAACAAAATATTAGCAGCAATGCATTTTCGAAAAAAAAAAAAAAATTACTAGCAATATATTTTTGAAAAAAAAATATTAGAAGAAAAACATTATACATTTTTGAAAAAAATATTACCAACAATAAAAAAAATCTTGTCGGCATTAAGTAGCCCATTGTGGTTGATATGCCGTAAAACAAACCAAACAAAAGTAAGAAGTATCAGTGCTAAAAAAAAAGAAAAAAAAAGAAAATTATAACACATATCAATTCAGCATTTAATCTCCTTCGATGTAGTCCACTTCTGAAGCCACATACAAACCCCACTTGTTTTCATTGATAGATGCATTTTCAAACAGACCAAACCAAACCAAAAATCTAACGACATGAGAATCAGTTAACTAGATCAATAAAAATCACACTTCGATCATACTTCGATCACTTCTTGAACTTAGTAAAGTGACTAAACTTGGTTAATAGTTCTATCAACATCTTTTTTTATCATTTAACCCCAAGCAAGGAAATAAAGCCACTGAGACGTAAGGAATTACAGAGATGAAATAATATGAAAAGGAAAAACATTATGGAGGAGAGAAAACAATAAAAGAAGAGGAATCAAGAGAGAAGATA